CCCCCCCCCCCCCCCCCCCCCGCTCGGTGTTTGCCATTGGGGTTGGGCTTTCGTCGCGTGGCAACGACGTTGTAAAACAAGCTGCCCCCCCCGGTGTTTGCCATCGGGGTTGGGTTTTCGTCGCTTGGCAGCGATGTTGTAAAACAAGCCGATCACTTCGTGAGCTCGACAACCAGGTTACCGGTTTTTTTTTGCCTCTGTTTTTTTTTTGCGGTAACCGTGAATGGTAGTCGAGCAGATCATGTTGTGCGGGGTCGATATCCCTCACTCCGCGCGAAGGGGGTAATCGCACCACGTTGTGTTAAAATAGTCAAGCATCCTCGAGGCAGTTACACAGTGCTTATGACTGTCTCTGGAAGTGAAAGCACCAGAAAGTAAATTAAGTCATACGCAGCTGTCATCCGTGCGCAAGGAAGTAAGCACAAGATGCCGAACACCCTTAGCAGGATGCAGCGCACCCTTCATGCGACTCGCCGAATACCTCATGGCGCTTCGTGCTAGGTGATGTGAGAGTCTGGTCCGGTGCGAACCCGGCGTACTCCGTCCCGGCCTTGTAGCGATGCGAGGTCAATGGTCTAACGACTACGGCATGCACGACTATGGTCAATGGTCAAATGACTAAGGCAAGCAACAAATATGTACGCCCCCCCCCCCCCATGCGACTCGCCGAATACCTCACGGCGCTTCACGCTTGGTGATGTGAGAGGCTGGTCCGGTGAGAACCCGGCGTGCTCCGTCCCGGCTTTGTAGGGATGCGAGGACAATGGTCTAACGACTACGGCATGCACGACTATGAGTGCACCCCCCGCCCCCCGCCCCAATCCCCCCCTATAGGGGATCACACTGTTGAACACAGTAGGAAAAGTGTTCTGTAAGCTGCTCAACGATAGACGGTGAAGTCGACAAGTTCAAATGTGAAAGCAGACCCGAGTACGAAGACCGGGTTCACGTAGTTGCGGAATGTCCGTTGTACAAGAAGGAGAGGGAAGTGTTATGACTGAGCTGGGGAGAGTACAAGGAAGATACAGGGAGATGTTTGAGGCATGGAATAGCCAGGAGAAGACAGTATCTGTACTAGGACATAGGAAGTGGGTTGAAAAGCGGGAAGTGATATCGATAGGATATATAGGCTAACGACTACGCCATGCACGTCTATGAGTACCCCCTCCCCCTCCAAATTCCATTGTTCTGCCTTCGATCCCCCTCTCTTGCTGTTCACCTCCTTATCGGCGTCCTCCGGCGGCAGTCTGTCGAGCCCCTCCCGGACCACAAACACCCTCCGGATGCTCGTCGACCCTGCTGCTGCTGCTGCTGCCTCTGGTACCGGTACCCCCCCCCCCCCCTCTGCGTCGACGGAGCCCCCCGCTCCCGGTCCATACTCGAAAACGCACCGCATTCGAACGTCCTGGACCCGAAGGCCTACCTCTATCCAGGGGCCATCTGCGCCCCCCGCCGCCACTGCAAGAGTTTCCGCCGAGGTGTACGCGTTTCCGACGACCTTGTTCGCGTCCGTGGCGAGATGAAGGAGGACCGGGTTGTTGGTGGTGGTGGCGGTTGCGGCCGATGACGCCGTTGTGGCACACGCGTCGAAGGATGGCGCAAGAGCAGCAGTAGCAATAGCAGCAGCAGAGGTGCAACAACAGCAGTATCGTCAAATACCCGACAACAACCGGATAGGCAGGCCGCTATCAACCAACACCCCCCACACACACACACACTTGACACGACGGTAACCGACCACGCCATCGCAGACGAGGATCCATTACTCTCTACCTCTCGTTCGGGCGAACTAAGCCCCCGTTCTGCCAACACCACTACTTCACTACCCACTACATCAACGTAACAGGAAAAAAAACACCGACAGGAAGAAGAATGTCATATATGACCGCCCCCCCCCCCCCCCCCCCTCGCCATACGAAAGCAGGCGCGACCCTAAAAATCCGGTACGCTAAAGACACGCACCTGGGTGCCGTTGCCGCCTCGGAACGAGTCGGAGAAGAGGGTCTCGACCACCGGCTGCGGACACGCCTCGGATTCGTATCCCACCGCCCCCTGCCCTTCACCCCCCGTCGCCTGCCCCTGCTCGTGCTCGAATATCTTGGTGTCTTCCGCCGACTCGATAACCCTGCGCGTTGTTGACGTGGGAACAACATAAACACGGGGCGTGTGAGAGCATCCCTCCGGCGCATCTTGGCTGAGCCCGACTCTCGTCGTCGTCGTCGTTGTTGTTGTTGTTGTTGTTGTTGAGGGGTCGTGCCGGAAAACAGATAACAGTATCGGAGGGTGAACACGTGTGCACCAGAGGGAGAGGTGTTCGTTGTGGGTACCGAGATCGAGCAACATGTGTTGGTCTATACACCGAATTCTCTTTCAGGCCCTGATGACGTGCGTGCCGATTTGACATTCCGCACAGGAAATAGGCGCCATGTAGTCCTTCGACTTGACAACGGTTTGTTTCCAAAAAAGACGGTAGGTTTCTCACGACGAGGTCCGTGTGCCCCAGCGTCATACATGCACTACACGGGCAAGACACAGGAGTCATAATTCTCTGCGTCCTGGGCACAAAAAAGAAAAAACACATACGGCGTGCCAAAAACGCGTTTCCATCCGCGAATAAGCACACAAACCTGCGGGTGATCTTGGTGGTGGCCACGAATTTCTTTCCCGGAATGATGCCGATCATGGCCCCGATGTCGCTCTCTGGGTCTGACCCCGCGCTGAGGTCTTCCGCGACGTACTCCTGCCAGCTCCCTAAAATAAATGCGAGCGACGACGACACCAAGCAAGACCATTCGCGAAATCAGTCAGCCACGCCAAAAACGCGTGCGCTACAACTTTCCCCGGCAAAAGCAAACAAAACACCGACACATCTGCGGAAAGAACCGGGTTTCCCCTCAACCTCGACCAACTATTCGCTATTTTTGGTTCGGCGCACGGGCGGGGAGCCGGCGTAGGTTAACGGCTCATCTCGGGGAGGAGAGGCCAAGCACACGCGTACGATCTCACAAGCCGTGCTTGAATTGAAGCACGGGAGCGCCCGGTTCTGTTAGCGGCGGGTCCTATTTAGATGGACACGCAACACATGCACCCGCCCACCCGAAATGACATATCGGCACAACTGGCGACATGGACACATGCTGTCGCGCTCCACAGGCATCGCGGACTTGATGTTGCACCTTGCGTATTCCAGAAACAAGGCTTAAAAGAAGAAGAAGCGCAACACCACCGGACCCCGTCACTCACCGATCCAGTTGCCCACGTTTTGCGTCCCGTACTTGCCGAACTGCCACCGGTCGTTGGCAAGAAGCTTCTCCAACCGCCACCTCGCCAACGTCTCTTCGTCCGCGTTCGGCTCCTCCCCCTGTAGCTCGAACTCCGGCTCGTAGCCGTACTCGGAGTAGTCAGCGCTCCCCTGCGCCCACGTCCGCGCAAGTGAGGGCCGACACAAGATATTAAACGAGCTTATTTACCAACACCCACAGAAAACGCCACCAAACCGAATCACATGCGTACCAAAAAGACCGCCCCCTCAACCAGGCAGGTCGAAACAACATATTAACGAACCCATATAGTACCAACATCAACACAGCACGCCACAACCGAACCACATGAGTACAGTACCAAAAAGACCTCCCCCCATCTAGGCAGAGTTCACTACAGCAGTACCACCGACACTGCTGCTGCTGCTGCTGCTGCTGCTGCAGAAACTCACGTAATTGTCGTCTTCGTCGTCTCCAGCGGCGCACTGCAGCACCGAGGAGGAAGCCGCCGTCGCCCGCCCCGAATATCTCCGCCTGCTACCGCCACCACGGGGAGCGGCGTCGCTCCTTGAGCCACCGCTGCCGCCGACGCTACCTCCGCCGGCCATCAAGCTTGACCCCCAGCCCCGGGCTTGCTGTTGCGCCGCCTCCACAGGCGTGGGGCTCCTTCTTTGGTTGGACAACTGTTGCTGGGGGGGAGGGCTAAGCGCCTGCCCCGCTGGGCGGCGGCGGACGCGGCGGGCGGCGCAAGGGTGATGGAAGCCGGACACCGCGGTCGGGAGGGTTCTTGTTGTAGTTGCTGCTCCCAGGTAGTAGCAGAGGAGCGCGAAGGTCGCCCTGCCTCTTGGCTTCTGCATGATGTGGTTGCCGCCGCCCCCGACTTGACGCTGTACGGTGTCTGAATGGACGACGGTTGTGAGCCAGCGATACGAAGTGGGGTGTTCGGTATAGGCTATCTTATCTTCGCAAAGTGCATATTGCTGCTGAAACAAGACTTGCTCCAGATGCGTGTATACCGACCAAAACTTGTCGCCTTGCCACATGATCGAACCCGAGGGAGTTCATGAGAACAAAATCCTGATCGAGTTGGAAGTGCGGGTGACACACTGCTGTTGCAATCTTTCGACGTGGCCATGGATACATAACATCATCACAGCTCGGGAGCAATAGACAGCAAGCAGTAGACGAGGAGCAAGACCGCTGGCAAGCATCGCACGTAAGAAACCAGATCCCGCCCCCCACCCCCTCCGTGAGGCATGAGGCATGTGGGTTCATGTTGGGCAGAGCGCACACGTCGAGACAGAAGATGCATTCGTGTGTGGTAACAACGGATGGTCGTAGAAGTTGTGGGGAAGTATGTTGGGGTAAGAGAGTATTTGGGGTAGCCGACGGGGACAGCAAAGCTCTTCTCAGCTGAGTGTGCCGCCAACGCTGCAAAAGATCATGAGCAGACCTTGGTGCCGCATAGCGAAATGTGATGGTATGACACCATCAAACACTCTACGCAAAGACCATCACGCCTTATCTCCGCCAAGTACTCACCCTCACTAATTCAGCAGCCTCCAGCGGCGGAGAGCGATAGCAGAGGAGCCCCTGCTGTGCAATGTGCACAGCGTACACAGCACAAACAACACAGGAGGCTTCGCCCACCAGGGGGGCTCCGCGATATCGTACTGATTCAGCGGAGCTCCAGCAGTGGATGCATGACATGTGACATGATCCACGGACTTCGACGTACAGCAACAAGAGAGAGAGCACAACGATGCCGTCCACGATGCGTTGCGTATGCAGACGGTCATTCCGTGCGATAAACGCGCGTTGGCTTCTTTCCGTTCTTATTGTCTTTACCTGCCAAGCAACCAGCACCCTACGTAGTCGCGGAGCAACACCTGCCGCTACTTCTACATGTAGTAGTGCCCGCAGCAGTTCCGCAGGCGCAACGTCTACATGTCGTGCGTCGCGGTCCGCGTTTCTGCTATCGGCGAGATGCAGGACAACGTTTCGGAGCCAACCCCACCGGCGAGGCGTCCCAACCCGGCGTGGAACTCACCACCGAAGTCGCCGACATTTTCCGCACCGCTATACGGAACTACTACGGATGGGGGCCAGATCAGGCGACGGTAGTTACCGGGGGGGACCGGCAGGGCCCCGGCCGAAGAAAAGGCCATTGGTGTTTCTGTGCCAGGCGATGAACGACGCGATCTTGGAGATGTGCGTGGAAAACAAAGGGCGACCTCTGGCGAAATCCATGACGGATTTCGTCGAGTTCAGTATGGAGGGTCTGGCATCAGGTGAGCAGGAAGACGCGAACAGGAATGAATATCTTATAGCCGTGATGGCGAGCAGAGCAGCACAGATGATGTCGGCTGAGACCGCTCCCCTTCCGATGTGTGTGCTATAATGGCGGGGGCTGGCGAGGACGGCAACGCCGTACTACAGAGACACACATATATTCGGCTAGAAACCTTGGTTGGAGTAATTGTTCGCCAGGCTCCGCGACGGCGCGCAACACGCGCGCTTCGTCAAGTGCCGCAAGCACGGCTACGCACTGGTGCTCTTGCCGATCGCACCTCCCCTTGTGAATGTCCAGCCGCGCCTTCACCCCCTTACCACGCACAGAGAATTCGGCGTCCTTGCGAAATTTCTGAAATGTAAGAAAAAGAGCGAACGACGCCTGCTGATTGGATGGTGCAGACAGTTCTATCCCTGGGTGCAAGTGCAAAGCTGCCTTCCCACTTGAGCCGTCTCTTGTCTATAATCCCTATCAATTGTCCCCTCGTGATTATAGACAGCAACCGGCGGGAGCGTGGTAAACGGGGCACGAAAAGGAGGTTTTTAAGATATTTCTCTAGAGGGAAAGCGAGACCTTCTAACTCAAGCCCTAGGTTGCTCGGTGCCTCCTTTCAACGGTGGGCTAGGTACTTCTTCCGCGCTTGCCCCTAGTAGCGCTTTCCACCCAAGGGTAGACGGACGCGGCGCAACTTAGCTGTTGAACCCGCGGCGTAATCGTCCCGTGATTCGACCTGTTCATTACCCTCATACTCCTCCACTCCACAAAGCATCCATACTAGACTAGAGCCGTCCCTGTGTACCCTGGCACCCCCCTGGTGGAGTAGTGCAAAAAGGAGACAATCATGCCATTCTTCGCGAGGTAGAGCAGGTGAAGAAGATGGGGACAAAAAGTGTCCCCAAAAGGCGATCCACCCCTAAAGGGGTTAAGGTCTCGTGTCTGTTTGCGCATGTCGTTGGGGCCTTTCTGCCCTCTGCAGGCTACTCGAAAGAACAGCTGCTGTTAGAGCTGCAGCTGCTGGACAGCACGACTCGAGTGCCAGGCCAGACTCTCACGGGTGTGGAGAAGCGCTATCGCACGCAGTGGATTTCGGCGTTGGACTTCGTGATGCAGAACGTGAGTGACTTCCACGCGCCTACGCAACGGCTCAAGGCCTTGGTTGTGTCGCCAAATGGCTATTCATTTATAGTTAGAGTCGGGTCGAAACCGTCCTGTTGAAAGAATATTTAATTTCAAAATTCCGCAGACATCGACCCGCGTCGGTCGTCGGCCAACCGACGTCGCAACTTGCATTCGAGGCACACCTGTGCTACCCTCGGTAAAAGGCCTTGTCCCTTAGAAGATCTCCGGGGTGTCCATGGTTCACTCATCGCCGAGGGGAGCCCGTTTTTTTGGGACATGTTGACATGTTGTGGGCGAAGGAGGTGGTGTTGGGAATGATTTGGCACCGAAGGTGTTGTCCCGGTGATGCTTGTTGATGAAGGTTTATGTGTGCCTGCGAGGACTTGTGCCTCGCGGGACAAGCAAGCAGGAGAAACCTCGCTATAGTGCCCCGAGTAGCAATAGGATTAGTCACCCACGTTCTTCGCGGGATTCAGTAGAAGGCAACCGTCCTGTCGTGCCGCAGCGAACAATAGGAAGACAGGAAGAGTCCAAGATATGGATCTTGGATGTCAGGAGCACTGCACGGCCCCCGGTACAACCCCGTCTTGGATTGCCTCTCAGCCAAACGTTCGCGTACAACCCTCAACGTCTTCTCCACGCGCCACCCACACCTTTCTTGGCCCTTTGTGATGCGTCGACACCGGGCCCGCTTTTCTTGATCGAGAGTAGCTGAAGTTCATCGACGAGCAGGAGCCGAAGTCGGTTGAGGAGTTCCACATCAAGAGCCAGGCAAGCGTTGAGCCCCTAATTTGGCTCGAGAATTCAAGTCATTTGGCAAACAAACGCGGTCACCTCCTGTTCTTGTTCTGTTCAAGAAACTTTGTGGTACGTTTCCTTGGTGGAGAGAAGCATTGAGCGTGCGATCGGTGCGTTAAGGAACTTCGGTGAAATGCAACGGAGTTCTACTACCCCCATGACACTCGTTGCCGTAAACCGCGTGTAAACGTTCGCGTATGCCCCCATGACCTCTCGGCAGGTGGACGTGGTTATGCGAGGGAGACAAACTAACGATGAGCAGACTTTCGTCAAGTTCGACAAAGCGTTGGCTACGGGCGGGGTCGCTGGCGGCGTTGCCACCGGTAAGACTCCCGCTCTTCCCCTCGCCGCAGCTCCGGTTGCGCGTGCCGGTTTTCGCACATCTAGACACCATCTATGTTTGCAACACGCTAGTCGACAGACGCTAGATTTCTTGTGTTCGAATTCGATGGACCGTTTGAGGAGTAATTGGATTCATGAACCACGTGGGTTTCCTGCAAGACTAGGCTTGATTTCCTTGCGAACGCGAGAATTCACACAGGTGATCGATGCACTATTCGCGTCGACTGTGTTGGGCCGTTGTGCTCGTGTGATGACAGAGCAGGCTGTACAATAGGTCATGCACCCTGTCCTCCCAACTCTCCCATGTTCCAATATTTAGTTTTCCTTTTCCCACGTCGCTAACCCTTGTCGCTCGCTCGTTTCTTTTCTGTTCCCCTCGTTCCCCTCCCTTTTCCCCACGCCACTGTTGCTTCCGTCTCCTCCACCCGTGGGCGCTGCTCTGGTGCCGTCTGTCTGTGCTTTGTGCATGGATCAAACCGTCGTGACTGGCTCGGAAGAATGCATCGCGATATCGCCGCAAATGGTGCCTTTGTCCCAGTTGGTGCTCTTGGGAATCCGCGCACTTCAAAAATTGGAGGATGCGGCGGAGGCGTAGTTGAGAGTTCTCCCGACGTATGCTTGACAACACAGAAGAGCGCACACTCTGTGACGTTATTTGTGTACCTCTAAGGAGCCACTTGCGTGGATAACGTAATTCACTCGCAAAACGACGCACGGTTTCTGGAACCGTTTGACGTGCATCACACGCGTTCGTGACCGATGGTATGCATACCGCTTTTAAACTCAAAACGTCATTTGTTTTTAGGTGACTACGGTCAATAGGTGGATTCCGCAGCTTTAGCCTCACCATCGTTGTTCGTGTGCACACCATTTTTCCTTCCCTCCTTCCCTGGTACCATAGGTGTGTCACCGCTCACGCCGCCACGGCGATCTCAGTTTAGGGTTTGTTCCGATGCTATCGTACCGCCGCTTTCAGTACGCGAAAAATTCCTGAGCAGACGACTCTTCTTTCGCAGGCCCACACGGCACCTGGGCTACTTTTTTTCTCTATCAGAGTGCGAAGTCACCTCCTGTTGGATCGTTTTTTCGATTCGTTTGACGCGGAGAGGGCAACCGACCGGTGGACCTACACTTTTCCGTTCACGGTCGTACACGCTTGCTTGTTTGATCGAGTTCATCACAGGGCGGCACACACCAAAAGCCAACAAGAAGGCTGCACGACGTGGTCACGACGATGATCGGTGCAAAAGGCAGACTGGCACTCTAGTGTCATTTGGAAAAAAAACGGGCGGCAGACTTCCATTTGATGTTTGCGCTCTAGAATACATGTAGAGTCTTGGCTAGGCCAAAAACACTCGTGAAGAGCACGAACGATGGACGGGTGATGCAGCGTCGGCTGAGAAGTGACACACAAGAACACAAAATGAGGTACATCGATCAAGCATGAGGAAGCAAAGTGCGACGTGCGTGTCGCCCGGTCAACCGAACATGATGTTGTGTGTGGCAGCTGCTGTATTTCACTAGATGCAGCAGTGACTCCAACAAAAGCAAATGTCGAGTGCCTCCCTCTGGACAGTGATGCATGCGGGTGTCATCGCACAACTTTTTTTTTTTTCATCAGCGCTCCTCACTACATGGGCTCACACACACAGCATTTCCGCCGTGTAGGAGCTCCAATCCGTGGCCACACAGAAGGGCCCCTCCGCTTGAGGCCCGCTACAACACTAGAGTTGTATGCATATCGAAAGTTACTTAGTGAGATGATTGCGAAAAAAAAAAAAAAAAACTGACCAGACGGCGAGACTAGCCAGGTTTGGCGGTCGGCCCAAGTCGGCAAGTCGGCCGACTGTTTCAAGTTCCGCCGCCGCAACAGGTTGCCCCGCAAATCGCGTGGTTCCACCGCAAAAATATCGAGAGAGGCATTAAGGAATAATAGGCATGCGAGAGAGTGCCTCACGGCTGTGTGCCCGGACAAGTACGCTACCGCAGGCCACGGCTTTTGTTGTGCGGCATGAGCGAAAGCCTTCCTCATGGGTGCAGCAGGCTCAGTGGGCACCAGCTCCACAGCCCCTCGCAAGAGCACCCATAGCTCCGGCAAATATGCAGCAGTCGATGGCGAGGTTCAGTCAGCGGAGCAATTCGAAACTAGCGCGAAGGTGTTGGTGTCGAAGTACCATGATCTTCGCCTTAGCAGCAGTGGTGGAGGCGGAGGCGCTGCTGGTTCTGCACCTTTGTTGGACAACGGTATGGTATCGTTGGCGCCCATGCCATCCCGGTCGTCGTCTCCCCCCCACCCGAAAGTACGCAATACGAGGCTGTCCGTCCAAAGGCGGCTAGATGGCGTGGCTGAGTCGAAAATTGATGATGAGGTGTGCGTTACGACAGCACCCCCCACCTCTGGACGGTGAGAGGCTGTTCTGAAACCGGGCATGCTTGTGGAAGTAGCATTGGTTCAGAGGTGGAGTCCCGCCCCGAGGGTATTTCGGGAATGTGCAAGTGCTCTCGATAGGCCCATATTGCTGTAGCATATTCTATACAAGTAGTAGGGAATGATGTGTCGTTTGGTTTGCTCAGGTTCTGCACTTGTACACGAAAAGCTTCGTCCAGGTGTCCTTTTGCATCCACGTGTGGTAAAGCAAGGAGATACGCCAAGCTCGCAGAAAGATCTATGGTATCGTTGCAGTAGTATTTTGCGGCGGGCCGTTCAGCGAGAGCAAAACGCGAACACGGCAAGGCAGGTACGACTGCTGCTGTCGAATTCACGACTCCTCGCAGCCAAATTCATGCCAGTGTGTACATACATCCGAAATGCCAGCGGCCGTTGAATGCCATTAAATTCGATGACGGTTTACCTCACGCGCAGTCAGAATGGAGGCCAGGGCATTAGTGCGAATACCCGCACGGGGCTGTCTCCGGGGATCGGCAATGTGGCCAACGCCAACAACGGGAATGTGGTAGAGCGTGGAGCTCGAGCGGGGTCATCTTTAGATCACTTCGTTCATCGCGATGACATGATCGGGTTAGCTCGAGACCTTGGGTAAGCATAAAGCTTGACACGGGTGTCACTCGGCCAGCGAGACCCAGACAAATCATGGAAATTTTTTGTATCTATGTTGTGAAAGAGTTCGGCTGCAAAGCTTAAATCGTGCAGCCGGCGCCCTCCATCTATTGTGAACGGCTGCGGCCGAGCGCTCGTCGTTGCTACAAGTACAGCCGAAGCTCCACCTCCGACTTGACGCCGGGTCTTTCGCTAGACCATATCAATTGCTCGCTCGTCCCAAGAAAGGCGCTCGCTTTTCCTCTGCCTTGGGTAATTTCCCGCCGTCATATTCACCAAAACACTGCTATTCACGATGGTGTCAAATCAAGGTATGATATCACCCCGGAACAGGCGACGGCAATGTTCGACATGCTAGACTCTGAACGCCAGGGCAGGGTTTTAGAAAGCGATCTCTTCAAACACTTTCTTCCCCTCCTGGAGAAGACGGGCCTTTCTGGTCCACCGAGGAAAGAGTCAACGGGGCGGAGGAAGTCGTCAGTGAAAGGGGTAAGGAATTGTGACGCTCTGATCATTGGCCGTCCGATATTGTGAAATGTAATGGGATACGTTGTTTTCTTCGCGGATATTGAATTTTCTCTTTGATTGCGGTGCCATCGTTCAAGTTTTAGAAGGACTGGGGCGAAACCCTGCCTGTATTCCCGAATGCTACATGTGTTCGAAAGCGGACGTCATGGCTGTGTTGCCGGTCTTACCCGGTACAAAACGCAGATGGAGTCAGGCCACACGATCTCAAAGGACTGTGCACAGCAAGCTCGTTCTTTGGTTCTGTTGTAGCGATGTTGGCACAATTTTCCTCTCTTTCGGACATATTTTTGGCGCGGTTGTAGTAGTAGACTTAAGACACTTAATTTGAACCAAACAGAACCGCCCGCCGAGGTAAGAATGGCGAAATATTGTTGTAGATATACATACGTTATCCATGGTTCAACTACCAGGGCGAGCAACAAATGCGAACGACCCTACCATATTCCCCACGTCCTCGCATACGCCCAACCACTTGCTCCTGTTCAGTCGGTGCCCAGACGCCCACGTCCTAGTGCCCCTCGTCCATCAGGGCCGAAAACACCACCGCGACCAGCGGGAACCCCTCCCGCAACCGCGAAAAGACGGATTACTTCTCCCACCCCCGGAGGAGGGCTAAGGGAAACATTCTCCGCCGCTCCTACTACCGTGAATCAGACTTCATCCTCGCCCTCGAATGGCTCCCCACAGGGGCCAAAAAGGAATTCTGCCGCAAGTGCCGATGGCTTGAATCGAACGTTATCTCCAGGATACCTTCGAGAACGGCCTTCCAAATTCTGGGTCACTCCGGAGCACGGCGGGGGCGGCGATCCTCCTGCTTCTGGTCCATTCGCTCCCCTCCAAGACCGGGTGGATCCGGTAGAGAGCCGGACTGCTTCTGGTCCGCTCCCTCCTCTCGAAGACCGAGTGGCACCGATAGAGCTCGGCGTGGAACGCAACAATGAAACGAAGAACGTGAGCGGTACAAAGGGAACCAGCCACCACCAGACCGAAAGTGAGCAAGGAAAAGAAGCAACAGTCACCACCGGTAGGGCGGAAAATGGCACGAACCGGCAGGCAGAGGAGCAAGCCGGAGGTACATCAGGAGCGGCGACCGAGGAGGCTAAAGAAGCTGTCGCCTCTGGAGATTCAGATGCTGAACCAGCGGTAGATCCGTTGGCCGGCAAAGACGTTCTAGAGTGGACGGCGGCTGACGTGCGGACGTGGATCCGGGCGCTGCCCCGAGGTTTGGCGACTTTCGCGGAGGCGGAAGCCTTTGCGAAGGGTCGAGTGGATGGGAAGAAGCTTGCGACCCTGACGCTTTCGGACATCAAGCGCAAAGAGTTTCGTCACGCCAAGTTCAAGGCTAAGGTAGGTGCTGATTGGTCCGTCCGGCTGGCTGATCTCCCCCCGTGTGCCGGTGGTACGCTGCGTAGTGCCCGGGTGGGATCACCAAGTCGTCCCACAAGCGCAGCGCGTGGGGCACAAACAAAAGTATAGCCAGAAATGGCAAGCCGACGTAGTTTCTCCGATGCCGACATCGGGGTTGATCCGACAGCAGTTCTCCGTTTATCACCGGCTCCGTTTGCTCGGTCCTTACGTTGTTCCGGGTCTCTACGTCCATTCTCAGATACCCACGGCACTGTGGGTCGAGATCAAACGGATTCAGCAGACCGTACCTACCCCCGTCACGGCGGTGACGGTGGCGGCGGTAGCGGCCACCACCGCAGCGGCGCTGCCTTCACGTTTTTCACCGGGGCAAACAATCGTGGACGAGGCCGTCAACACACCCCTTTGCACTGTGAAGCAGTCCGTCGGCCAGGGGGCCTTTGGGGAGGTTTATCAGGTCGTTTGGACGGGGATCGGGTCAGACAGGGGTTCGACCCTGGCCATGAAGACTGTGCGCCTGGCGGATATAAGCTCGGATGAGCGAGACGAGTACCGAGTTCTTCTCGTGGAGGAGATCCTGGCGGTGAGGACAATGAACCCCGTCGCCTTTTCTCCATAGCTTTACGGGGGGAAAAAGATTAGGTTTTCAAGTGGTCGAGAAATCCCCCTTGCAGAGCTTTGCTCTCGGCGTATAATATTTCGAGTGAAAGTGGTTTGTTCACGAACGTGAGGAGTCAGGCTATATTAATGGTGCCTCAGTCGTATGAGACGCACAATCCCGTGGTTGACAGAAGATTTTTATGCGACTGCTCGGCTTTCGATTGAGCTCGGCTCGACCCTGTGCACCCTGCTACTCGTGGCCTCACGTGTGTCGTCTGCTGGCGTTTACCACACGGCTTGCAGGCGGTGCGCGTGAAGCCCCACCCAAACGTCGTTAACGTACGGTTTGCGCACATCATGGGGTTCTGCAGCGAAAACGAGGAATACTTCTGCTTTGAGGACTTCGTGACCGGCAAGAGCCTCGAGGAACTTGTCGCAGAGGGCGAGGGAGAGCTGTACGATGGAACCCCGGCCGAGGTGACCCGACGTCGCACTTTTGACGCCAATAGAACTCTCAATGACGCCGTGTCACTCCTCCCTTTTGAACTGATTCTGCAATAGTCGCCAACGGTAATCCTGATTGAGCGGAACTTCGCATCCGTGCTGTTCTACAACGGGGAGAGCCCGAAATCAACAACTGTATGTTGTAAATTGCATAGAAGTATGAACGACATCATCTCCGCACGCTTGCCATGGAGGTATTTTCTGATTTTCGAATCCTTCATACTTGTGTCGAAACAATCCTAAACATGGAAGTTGACGAGGGAAGAGCCAACCGGTTCAGAGTGAGGTAGTCTGCGCAGCGCTGCATGAAGTTGAGAGATGCCTAAACCTTCTTGATACATACCAGTTCGCTCTCTCGTAAGAGTCCCTGAATTTCGATTGTTCGGTTCCCCCCACGTGCGACACGTTGACTTTTCGGGATGCATGGATGACTCGTTTTTACTATTTATGATGCAGATCCAGGGGCGCCTACTGAGCTATTCCATCCAGCTCGCGCGCGGGCTCGGCCATATTCATCGCTCCGGCGTTCTGCACCAGGTGACGAATTCTCGCTTCTTCCGCACTGTTAGTCACCACTCGGGCGAAGGGAACACACCAGATTTATCTCACCACTCTCCGGAGGCCATCATCCCCCGAGGCAAGAATCGATCGCCACACCGTTGAGAAGTCGTTTTCCTTAATCGTACAATTTTTTCCTGAGAGAACCGAAAGCGCGCAGCCCTGCCCGTTTTCCTTACACCCACATCCATTTTTCGTCTAGGATATTAAATCAGCGAACATTATGGTGAGCAACGACGCGGGACTACTCATCACAGACTTCGGCTTCGCCACCGTGGGGCAGTTCGGCCCACCACCGCAACTGCCGGCTGAAAAGTCGACCGCGGTTCCCGCCATCGCCTCCACCGCTGCTGGGGTAGAACCAGTGGGAGAAGGTTTGGAAAAAGGATGTGGTTGCGGCAAATCTTCCCCTTCAGGAAACCCTCAAAGTGGTGTCGACACGGGAAGTGGCAACGAGCCTGAGGTACCATCCGGGTGGATCCCCGGCTACAGCGAGTCCGGAGGACCCCATACCTCAGCCAGTGGAAACAGGTGCTGCGGCAGCATGGAACGGGACATGAGTGCAGCCGAAGGCAGACAGGAGGCTAGGACGGCCGCGGGTGGTTCTGCCGAGCAAGCCCAGGTACAGCATTCCTGCCCCGTAGTAGGGACAGGGGCGGGGCCACCCGTGATCACAAAAGTGAGCCCAGCAACGGCTGCAGCCGAGCCAGCAGGTAGGCGATCCCCGCTAGCGGGGAACGGTGGCGGCCCCGGCGGTGCTGGGAAAGAAATCATGGACGGAAGCGGGGGGGGGTCGGGGCTTTTGCAACAAAATGGCGATGGCGGAAGGCCGCCGAATCGAGACAGCGTTCTCTTAGGTACCCTCAAAGGGTACACACCAAGATACCAGTCCCCGGAAGTTAGCGCAATCATGAAAAAGAAAGATGAAGCGGCGGCGGCGGCGGCGGCGGCGGCGGCGGCGGCGGTGGTGCAAGAAGGCGGCCGATCGATGAAAATCGGAGCCCAACAGGTCGGTGTATGGTTTTGTGAAACGCAAGGCATGATCGCTTCTCCGCAATAGGATTGCAGTTCAGTAGGAAGGCCTCTCGTGTGCCCGTTGGGTCCCACAGTGCCCGTCCCACTCCGAGCCGAGTCGACACACGTGAGGGACACGCTCAGCCAGGACTCCGTTGTCGTCCGCTCGAACCTGGTCCTATGCATTCAAGACAGCATCAATCGAATAGCAAAGTTCCCTTGGTGTTCCAGCACGATCTGCCGAGCAGGCAGTCCCAACACACCATCCAACCCGCACTGAACGAACCCTGTTGCTTGCACCCTCCTCCTTTCTCCATCTTCGTCCGTCCTAACTCCCATCCTTACCCCACCTTCAGCACCCACCCGCATCACGGTCGGAGAAGAATCACGACACGGTCGACGCGTGGCGTTCCCAATTTTCCCACCGGAGCGACATGTGGGCGGCAGGGGTCGTAGTGCTCGAGATGTACGCGGGCGGTCTGGGGAACCTGCCGGCAGGCCAGGGCGAAAATGCCCTCGAACTACTTGAAACCCTGGTTCGCAATACCGTCGGGCACGACGGTGGGCGTAGAAACTGTGCAAGCGCAGACGGAGAAGATAAGACCAAGAAAGGGCGAGACACGTTTCTGGTGGATATGCCGGAGGGGGTGCTCGCGGTTTTGCGGGAAGTTTTCCAGCGAACGGCTGGAAACCGACCGTTTTCAATGGAGGTGGGGTTTTTGTCGGGGTTGCGGCTTTGACTTACGGGCGATAGTTCAGGCACCCGCTTGTAGACGCCAGGTTTGGGTGTGAGAAAAATTGCCAGGGGCAATTTCGTGGCAAACGCGTGCTAGATGCAGACATTTTTGCTACTATGACTGAGAGCGCTACTCTTCGGCCTGGAGTTCTGAAAGCCTTTCTGACCAAATACAACATGTCCGCCGCACCACAAGCGCATTAACAACGGAGAAGAGGGAGTGTCTTGCCAGTTGGTGGCCTACGTGCTCTGTGTCCTCGTCTTGGTAACGTTGAGATTGACAAAGACATCATCAAGATTCTCCAACTCGTTCCCGACGCGCTTGCCCTACTGCTATGCCGTGTCACGTTTTTCTCTCTGCCCTTGCCGCCCAGGCGTTGGCGGCACGCCTTTCTGAAACCCTTGGCGGCATGCTGGAGAAAAAGCTCGCCGTTGTTCCGTGCCCTTCGGCCGGGGCCCCCTCGTCTTCCTCGCTGTGCGAACAGGCGCCGGTCTACGTCGAGTGTGACGAGAATCACGCCAAGGTGAGGCTAAGAGGATGACTCGGAGTCAACCCGCATCCCAAGAGCTCCAAACATATCCCATGTTTTGAGCGTCATCAACACTGCCCACGAACGTGGTCACGAACAGTATGTTATCCTTGGCCGGCATAGACAAAGGGTTGGTTTGTTGCTGCCTTGGTGTGTTGTTGGGCCAATGTCACGAAATGACGGGAGGCCTGTATCTCGTTTGCTTTCTTGCGCTCGGCTGGAGGCGTAGCGCGGTGTTGGCTCGGTGCACGTTCGCCAGGGTATAGGTATACTTCCTGGAGAACTGACGCAAGAAGGGACACCAATTCCACACGTCATTCAGCTTGACGGTATGCGAAGTTCCCTGGTTTCACGCCCATCTAGGGTCAGATGATGGCACAGAAACAAACCAAAGCCCCACCATTTTTTGCGGCACGGGCGTTTCCTAAGGCCACATGCACAACAAATGGAAAGAGGCACGCAACGTTAAGAAAGCACCACGATTCCTCAACAACATCACGAAGAAAATCAATGCGTGCTGCTCTCACCCGAGAACGCGTGACAGTAACCGCGCAAATGCGAGCACGTGCGTTGCTGCTTGTGTCGCGAGGTACGAGCAAACCATCTCTCATGTTTGCCTGCCGTGGAGAAGTAGCCCATGACAACGCGCCTCCTTTTGCTCCACAACGAACCTCGCGTGGGCAGGTGGGGCGCCTGCATATGTGGCTTGGGAAAGCCCTCTTCTTGAAGGGCGACGACCGGCGCGAGCAGGCTCTGCAGGAGTACCGGGAGGGCGTGAGGGTACTGCTAGAGAGCGAAGCCGAACGACGGTCACCGAGCATGGCTCTCTTCCGTTGGTACCTGGGTAAAGCTCTGCTGGAGAATGGCGAGGTAAAAGCTGTATACAGTACCAGGTGTTCTGCTGCAAGAACGGGTGGGTGAAAGCAGACCACCAAATCATCGCATGGCTCAAGGCACTCGAAACCATGGTCGACATGAAGGCCGACACAGCTAGTCCTCTGAAATCTGACATGTTTTTCGCTTGCGCCCCTATCGATCCTTCCGTTGGACCGATATCGCTCCGCCCGCTCGCTCGCCGCACTACCCCTGGCCTTTGTAGATCGACGAGGCCCTGCCCCACCTCGCAGAGTCGGTTTCGATAGACCCAGAAAATGCCAAGTACCGCCACACCCTCGGCCTGGCCAAGTGCGTCACGGGTGACGAGGCCGGAGCACGGGAGGATCTCCTCGAGGCAGCGCTACTGGACGAGGAGGACGCAGAAGATCGGTACCAGCTCCGCATGCACCGCATCGACGAGAAGCGGAGAAAAAGCGCAGAGGAGGAACAGCAGCGCGTTTCACGGTCATTGCAAGAGTCTGAGGGGGCTGGCACGCCGCAGGTTTGACATGTCCCCGCAGTTCTAGCGCTAGTAGAGTGCGGTGTGCGCCCAAAATATTGGACTGATCGGCTTGAGACTGGTGAGGAACGGTTCTTGCACTAGGTTTGTAAATCATGTCGACCCACGGGAAAGAGGACATTCCGATTAGTTCATATTTCGCTGAAGGTGTTTAATCGATCACTCCGGTGGGGAGCATTCTTACTTCGCGCTCTTCGTTGTTTCCTTCGAAAGCAGTCCCCGTCTGTTCACGTCGCTGCGTTTCACCACCTGTTTTTGTTTCCCCAGGGAGCGGCGTCCCCCAAGCCAGGCGATGCAGAGGAAAGCGGTACGCCCCTGGCGGCGACGACACCAAGTGATGAGCCTACCGCCGCAATGTCCGGCTTTGCTCAATCGCGCCTCCTGGCGCTTGAGAGGGCCTCTTCCTCGACTCGCACCTATGCCCTCGAGAACCTCAGCGACTACCGGAACCATAAATTGGCGGGCAAACTGATCGGCGACACTTGGGGAAGTGGCGGGGGGGTGGCTCACCCCATCGATTACTCTTTTGGGGATAAGAACACCCGAGATGCGGCGACTCTTGCCGAGGTGGGTGGCCCGGCTGCGATCGGGAATCGTGCCCCAAGCTAATGTCCCGAGATTGACGACAAACGAGATAGTGCTGTCTCGCCGTGTATTGCTGTATTGACGCGTTTGAGGCTAACACCACCTCTACGTAACTCCTCGCCGTAGATCGGTAGAACGGGCGGTGGCGCACGGACTGTGGGATTCCTCATCTCTTGACTTTCCCTATGTCTGCAACATCCCCCGTTGTTGCAGGTCCGGCGGTTCTCTGTCGGAGACGAAATTGTCGGGGGGCCAGACATCTCCGCTTCTGGAAAACCGCTAGAACCACTACACTGTTGCGGCTTCTCTTCTCCGTACGATGACACGCGTGTTGACACGGAAGTCGACGGAAGGTTTGTTATCTGCGGTCTCTTGTCCCCAGGACAGGCTAGCCTGCATATTCCGGGAGAAGCGTACACGGCGACGAGGTCGACGACGAACCGTTGTCGGCAACAGCCAGACGAGTGCAGCAGGTCTTACCACGTAGTCCACGTTCGGTTCGAGACCGGTAACACTACGCAGGCTGCTAGTCCTATGTCTGCGACCCCCTCAGTGGCAGAAGCCATAACGGGGGAAATTGGTGACAATCACCTTGGAACGATTGACGAAAGACAGGGCAAGGTTCGCAGGGCCGGCACCGAGGCGACGGTAGGCCCGGGGGCGGGGTGTTCTTCCGGTGTCACCGGCGGCAACAAGACCGGCAGGTCTTTGTCGTCGTCGCGAAGCATATCGCCAACGAATCGTCTCGCTCTTCTGAGCTCAACCCGCTGCAAGCGAGAGGAGGAGTACGTCCCAATGCTGAAGGCGACGGGGCGGGCGGCGATGGTGGGTTTCCACGCGCAGCTGGCGGGAGCGGTGCGGCAGCTGAGGTGGGAGGCTTGCGACCTCACGCTTATCGCCGATGACCTTCCCGGTGCGTGCTTGACGCTACGAGAGGCGTGCACGTCCGGCAGTCTGTACCGGGGAACCGGGATAGGGACTAGCAGCAGCAGCAGCCGCGGTCACCACGCGACAAGGGACGATCAGCGAGTGAACGCGCCGGTGGTGGTGGACAGAATCTTGAAGCTTGCGAAGCAAATGGCCGCAGCGATTCTGCACTGCCACCGCAAAGGGGTGAGCGGGCGTGAAGTTTGCACTGCATCTAGTAGTGGGCATTGTTCCATGGTTGAGCAGGCGTTATCTGTGGCATACAGCCAGTGGATTTGGATTTGGTCGCGGCACGAGCTGATCCTACGATGTAAAAGCGCGGGTTGCACGGGATGTTTCTGCGCACAACCAAAACCTAAACTGACGTCGCATGAAGGCACAGAAACCGCACTGGTTCTCAAAACAAAGACCCGGAAGGGCGCGAGTGCGGAAGGCATGTGTAGAACCAAATCTACACGCGGCTGAAGTCGGTGGGAGGCCTGTCGGAGCAGGCGGGTAAATACTGCTACGACGATGAACGTTCAATGGCGACTACCGTATACACCCCCTGGACCGATTTTCAAAGCTCGATTACTCCACGACGAAGAGGATGCATAAAGCTCTCGACCAGACGACTTCAAGGCCGCCGTTCTCGGCGCCCCGGCTCTTCCTGCTGATGATAAAATCGAGCTTTGAAAATTGGTACAGGAGGTGTGTTATCGTGTGTCGTATACGGCATGTTTTGACACAGCACCCTCAACAAAGTAGTGTTTAATGGCGAACAGATTGTGGTTCCACGATCAGAAGGATTGAGACGGCGGGAGAAAAAGGCGGCGCCGTCGCTGTTTCTCTCCCTGTTCTCAACGGGCCTTTGTTCTTCGTCCCATCTTCATTGCCATCGGAAACACGTGTCCGTTGCACGTGTGTAAAACAGGTTCTTCTGCGAACTACCACCCCTGACAACGTGCTCGTGACACCTGAGTGGGACGCTATTCTCCGCCCGAACTACTCTCACGCGTATGAGGCGCAGAGGTGGACAACCGTTTCCGTTCGCGCTCAGCAACAACAACGGCAGGCCCCCACGCGGTCCGGTGCTAACCTGGATAAACTGCTTGCCGCTCCATTCACAAACGCCACATCTTTGGACTATCAGGCGAGTAGTCTGAGCAAGCAAGCACTAATAGCGCCATTCCCGAAGGATAGCATGGAACGTGAGGATACAAAATCACGGCGGGAAAAACACTGAGTAACTGCCATGCGGCGACGTCGTTTTGAGCTGGCGTCCGACGTAATGACCTCCGAAGCGTGATCTGGGTGGTGTGCAGTATGCAGAATCTCGCGAGACCGGGTGAAGGCAATCAATTGACCGGCAAGCGACGGGCGGAAGCGCAAGGGTATCAGTTGCCGCCGATCGTTAAGACACGGGTGACGTCATTGTAGTTTCCGACAGAAAACCTTCGCAGGCTTCGCGATGTTCTCCCCCTGTTTCCAAATACTGCCTCATATGCTGTTAACCTTTGCGCCGCATCCCCTCCATCTCGGGCGAGCGCATTGTTGTCATGAGGTTCCCTCTACACCCAGCGTCCCTTACCGATTTATCGCTGTCGCTCGTTTGCAACCACCGTGTAAACGGCGGACACATATCTTCTATGCGCGTGGCGACAACAATAATTTTCGTGCTTCTTGTCCTTGCTGGTTGCACAATCACTGCCGTTCGAAGCCTCGTTCCCGTACACCGCAGCCTGATCTAAAAAAAATGCGTGCTTGTCTTCCCAGAGCCCGGAAATAGCGCAAATGCGGAGCGAGAACGAACCCCGTCAGAGGGTTTCAGGTCGAGCGCAACGGCGTTCGGCGGCGTTGACGGGCACAGGTGTTCAAGAAGAACGACCGCGTTCGATGTCTTCCCCAACCCGCAGCCACCCCAGCATAAGCCCCGAGCATGCCACTACAAGGGGGCGCGCACAGAGCCGAACTGACTACTACGTCGCGGGTGGTGCTGCGCACTCAGCAACTGCTGACAAGGATCAGCAACAAACGGACGCCAGTAAGCGGGGAAGGACGGGGAGGCGTAGTCTCGGTCGCCGGCAAGGAGGGGCTGCCGCAGACGACACCGGCGAGGACGCACAACCCTCGTCCCCCTCCTCGGTGTCGAGAGGTACCGGTGCGGCCGCGGGCGGTGGACAGCCGATGATCACGGCTTGCGAGAGCGACATCTGGGCGTGGGCGTTGATGGTCCTGCAGATGTTCTCCGACGACGTGTGGCCCCCCGGTAGCGGCCAGGTGTGGGTGGATGTCTCTGCGTTAACAAATATCGTGGCTCGCCCGTACGTTTGGATGGCCGAACAGGACCGAACAGCCGGCAACTGTTGCACAACGAGTGCTTCCGATAGGCTTAGCCTGAAGCCTACCCGTAGCTGGCATGAACAGTGCGACACATCTCTTGCGTTTCATCATTGCACTTTTCTGAGCAGCAATCTGGCAGGCCGGAGGAAATGAAAACGGCTAAAACTCTCAGGTATGACGTTGATAGTCAAGAACGCCACAGGTTCCCAGGCGCTGGATCAATGTACGGCAGACATTGCAGGGTTTAGAGTACTTGCTGAACGACACATTCAAGCGCTTTCTCGTTTTCGAGATTCCAGTAATCCCTGTCATCCTTTCCGTGTCTTGCTACAGAAAGGGCTGCCGGCCTTAGAGGCTTTGCTGCTTAGGAGGCAAGGCGTGGACTCTTGGACTACGGAAGACGTTATCTCATGGCTCCGCGATATTGGGCTGTGGAGCGAGAAAACCGAGAGAGAGGCAAGCTGCGTCATGCCGTACCCCCTTGGCCGTCAATAACCAAAGCCAACAAAGTTCGCGCGTGTGCTTGTTCGGCCTGTGCGTTCTACTTTTAGGCGCCGGGAAAGATGGAAGACACGATACCGTGGCACTGATCCCGAGATCGATGCTCTAAACTTTGGTTGTCTCACCAGTTAAAAGAAGAAATAGTGGAGGTACTTTTCGTATTTCGTGGTAGAAACATGCAACTCAATCGAGCGGGAGGTGCCAACCGTTCACGCCGTCTCTCCCAATCTCTCGGCCTCGCCTCCGGCACGATGTTCACATGTTGCTTCTTGACCAGATTGTCGGCAGACTGCTCTATCAATTGATCTTTTATCGGATCGTGTGCGTCTTCAGACTGCTGTAAGTTTTCGACGTTTTCACGTATCGAGAACTTCAATAAAAATCGGCTGCTGACGCGCAGATTCGCGCTTTCAAGATAGATGGGCCGCACATGCTGGTGCCCACGTGCCGTCGAGATATTGTCGAGAAACTAGGGCTTTTCATCACCGATGGAGAGCTGTCCTGCAAGCTCTGGGACAGCATTGCCGGGGGGCTGCAGCGGTGGAGCATGCCGTTCTCTCTGGCGCAGGTTTTACGGAGGTGAGTGTGAGACGAGTGAAGTACCAACGGTCCGGGATACGAGCTGAAAAGAGGGAAACGGAAACCCCGAAAGCTTCTGATTCAAGTTTCGGCAGTGCATCACAGGAAGGAAGAACTGATCCTTAGCATCCGTCCGAGGACCATGGGAATCTTAATTTGCCGCCACAAAACGTATACTTGCGACGCATGAAGGGGGGGGGGGGGTAATGTGGATGACGCGTATATTGGAAGCGTAGGATCCACACCTTCAACACTTGTAGGCGCGGCGCGCCGATGACAGGTGCCTGGCTGACAGCCCGAAGGACCGGTATTCAAGCATGGAAGAAGTTTGTAGGCTTCTCCGCGGGATCGCGGCAGGCGATGGTGGACGCGATGATGAGGCTTCCGCGGTATCAGCGGCGAGCGACTACAGCTGTGACGAAAATGTTGCATCCGACAGAGTGCGCACGGGCATGATTCTCAACGACATCGGGGTGAGTTTGGGGCTACGAGACCTGCAAGGTTAGAGGGTGGCGAGGGCGGGCGTTTAAACGGCATTGAAGCACCTTCGGCAAGTGAAGAACGCCGGAGAGGATGGAAAGGGGGGATGGAGAGGGGGGTTGTGTCACAGTAGCACGCTAGACTACGGACCTCGTTGGGTTATGAGATGGCCGGCGTATCACAGGATCCAAAGCGCTTGGGCGTACCTAACAATGTGAACGATACAGGATAAGCGGATCGGCGCACAATGCGCTTCACTCTGCGCACAGGTCAACATGCCCCCTCCCGACCCCCCGATTCGCCACACGATAACCTCTGGAAACAAACTCCTTCCCTGTTGTTTTATTAGGTGTGCCTGAGCAGCAAAGGCGAGACCGAGGAATCGGAGCGGTACTACAAGATGGCCCTGCTTTCGAGCGAAGATGTCTTCGAGGCGTACTACAACCTCGGCCTGCTATATAGCACAGCGGCGTTTAACAAGTGAGAGCTGGTGTGTACGCCCCTTACGTCCTCCGCATACATAGGAAGGCCCACTAGTCGTCGATCATCACAGCAAGAGCCATAGCAGAGACTGCAGAACATTTCGCCAATCCACATGGCATCGTTCGTCGCTCTTGAGAGCGTTTCGAAGTCTGGAAACGCTTCCGGTGACACGTACAGGGCGTCTGCGATAGTTATTCTCTGTGTGCTGGGATTCGCGCATATTCCGGCGTGCTGAGCGAGGTCGCTTGTTTGGTGCGGGGACGGCGCCAACACAAACAACAATAGCCTAAACGAAACAGCTACACTTTGCAACCCACAAGTGAACACCACTTGGGTGTAAGCCCGTGACTCTACGAGATTCGTGCCCAACCAGGTTCCGAGAGGCCCAGCAAATGTTTGACGCGGCCACGGAAAGAATGAGTCCCCGCGACCCGCGCCGCAAGTCCAGCATCGAGCATTCTAAGGCAGCCGCACGCAAGTCCAACTACCACCAATCCCAGGAGGTGGGGCGACATATTTTTGTGTGTTCATGTGCCCTGACGATGTCACCCGAACGGTACGCGCGCATGCTGATTGGCTCTGTCGTGTGGCGCCACTCGATACCGTGATAAGAAATGCTTGACGGGATATAAAACTGAGAGTGTCTTCGACTCTCCGCACACTCTTGCGATCCGTCATTGTGCAATCATACACACTATCTGATGTTGCTATATATCTCTCTCTGTCGACGGACGTCTATGGACACTCGTTAACAGGTCCCTGGACGTGCCCATGGACACTCAATCAGGCGACTCTGCGAGAGTATTCACGCGGCCTGTTTTCAAGCACGTGATTTAGTTGTCCGATGTACGCCAACGCAACCCAATTCTTTGAATAACGACCTGATCAACCGCTGTCGGCGGAAAAGTTGCAACGTTCGTAGTTCGTTTTTCAAGTTTGGAAACCACCGCCAGGCCAACCAAAATGCCGGCCTTGCACGAGTGGGTATCGAATTCGCACCCTGTCAAGTCACGAACTAAACCCCCTTTTGTCTGTCCCTCACTTTTTTCACCCAACCAGATAATGAAAGCTCTCTCCGGGAAGTACAATTGCGTTTCGCCAAACAGTTCCAGGGATAGAGGAGGGTCGGTGGCCGCACCAACAGGTGGGGCGGCCAGGAGCAGTCACCATGGCGGTGGAAGGGGAGCAATGAGCGAGGGCGCCGACGGCGACAACCGTCGAGCATCTTTCCCCCCCGAGCAGAAGCACGCGGGCTCGACCTCCGTCAAATCGTTGGGTAGGTCGAGGGCCTCTTCTGCGACGTCCGATGCGTCTGGGACGACGGGAGTTACGCAGACCCCGCCGTCTTTGCGATCACCACCCCGCATGCGAAGCCCAACCCCATCTAGAGGATCAGGTTAATTGACAAAAAATTATTGCCGTTGTTGTTGAAGAAATTGCTCTCATGGGTCCCCTAATTTTACTCGGTCGGTCGTCAGTGCCCCGCCCTCTCCAACCCCCCCCCCTTTGGGCCATCGCCCCGAAGTGCATGGAGTGAGGTGACTGCCTCCCGTCCTAGGAAATTGTGGTCAAAGTGACCGCGTTTGTTCGTAGCGTCCCAGTGTGCCGGACTGACTGACGGGTGTAAGAGTAAGAATGGCTGGTGAAACATTTCCGTCAGGACATAAAACAAGAAGTTTTTTTTTTGTAAGGCTTACCATATTTTTAAGAAATATACATTACCTCACAGAAAGACTACCCGTTCGAGATATTACCATATTTGTTTGTCGGTACGTCGTACTCAAAAATGTGTGATAGGGATTGTATCAAACCTGTGTACCCGTCGGGGGAGGGTTCTTGTTGCATCATTAAACCCTGTGTTTCTGTTGCTCGCTGGAGGTGCTGTGCCCGCAAAGATTTCCAACCTTTTTCTATAGTGTACCACTAGGTGCTTCGATGATAGCGTACCATTAGGCACCACGAACGAGAGTAAATCTAGGGAACCTGTCGGACGTTGCTACACGGGCTTCGCCACAATCGACATCCAACGAGAGAGAGGAGGAGGCGAAATGCGCTCATGAAGAATTTTGTGTGTGTACGGGACCGCACGGGAATCTAACACGTGCTTACCGTAGCATCGACTTGGTCGGGAATCACGCAAAATATGGTACCAAGACAATGAGGGCCTGTTCGCAACCCATGCCACCCAGGAACCATGTATATAGAGTCTCGGCGCGAATATCATGTTCGGTTCGCCCCGATTCCTTGATACTCAGCGATGGAGAAATTCTCTCTCTCTCTTCTCTCGGACCCTGTCGTCAAGCCTCTCTGGTGCGTGTGCAGACGACTACGTAGGTAAGGAGAACGGAGATAGTTCACTCAGACGAAGTCTACGTCCATCGCCAATGTCCTGCGTGCGTGTGCTTCACCAGTCGGTGCAATGTCCCATCCACCCCTTCCCGCTCTTGAGTGAACAAACACCTCCCATTTCTGCCTAGCAAGCAAACGAATGTTTTACTTTGACGACGCACGAAACTAAAAACCTTTGCCTACGTGGAATCGTTTGAGGCGACGATATCCACGGCTCGTACAAAACGCAAGTCTACGGGTTAAAGATGTCGCCGACTCTTCCTCCACCGCGGGAACATCGTTTCAAGTAGAAAAAAAGATTTAGTCTTCGGTCGGGAAGCTTCACGAAATGCTTCCCTACCCTCTCTGGCCTATACGGTACAGGCGACGAGCGAAGCAGAGAACGGCACCGGCGTCGTTGTAGAGCAGCGTTTCAACCACGCGCCAAACGTTTACGCGTGAACGTATTAGCGTTAATTCATTATCCGGAGCGATGCGGCGAGCCACCTCTCGCCTAGCCCCCCCCCCAAACCACCCGGACTTGTGCCCCTTAAACTACGCACTCAAATCAGCGGAATATCAAAAACGATGCAACACACAGCAGTGGCACAAACACGAACACACGCTTTAGAATAGAACCAACGTCTACGACAACGGAAATCAACATACCCCCGAGACCGAGAACAACGAACGAAAACACCACGCGCTGGTGCGCAGGCAGGTGTCGTACAGACACCCAGATGCACGGGATGACAATACTCATGACTCCACACGGCCCCCTCACGCTATCGTAAAGGCGCGCCCAACAGGTGCCTCTACCATGAAAATAGCAGTAAGGAGAGGGCTGCCCCGTGTGGAAGTGCTGGGCGATCATTAGTCAAACTAACCTATGCACCCCTCCCCTGCCGACCAGTGATTCGACGAAAAAGAGTTGAGCCACAACGATCGTCTTCACATTCACCGGTTCGCGGGTCCCAGACGTTCCACTGCTGTCACCCTACCCTCAGTCTGCTACCGTCTCACGCTACGCTGAGGTGTAAGACAAGCAACCGGTCGATGATACAACCACGGGCGAACATTGCACACTGCCGCAGTCTGAGATAGAGCGAACGAAAGATTCGTCAGATCACATCTTCAGTGTATAACAATCATCCAACTGATGAAGGTGTAGAAGAAGAACACTGGGTACACGGCCAACATCTTGCGCTCGTCTGAGATGATCTCCGAGATGAACACCTTCGACGCTGTCATTGGGAGCAAGGTAACGAACAGAGACCCGCAACAGAAACGCAAAACAAGGAGGTATGTCATGTCGTTGGTCAATGGCTTAAGGGGCAGGAGAAGTAGAGGGGGGAGTAGCAAAAGGAACTCGGCAAGAAAAAAAGAGTCGGAGAAACACAACAGTTGCAGGGAGGCAAGACCAAACATAAAAACCTCACGAACTCCCCGCTGTGGGGTCGGGGCGGGGCGCAGAAAACAGAACAAAGCATGCCCTTGTGCGACAAAAGAGCATGACACAAGCGACCAACACAGGATGGCCAACAGAAATGACACATGATAGCGTGTGGGGCATTGCAACCATGTCTGAGATGAACTCCAGCGATCTCTTTTAGATCCTGTGCTGCCTTCGTAAGAAGAGAGGGGCGGGGGATGGGCTGGCAGGCAACACACACTTTGTGATTTGAAATAACGGGGTTATGATTATGGCACAGAACAAAATGATAATCGAAATCCCGAAGAAAGACACGGCTGTCTCGAGTACGCGCAGAAGAAAGTGGGGTGGAAGAGGGTAAAAAACATAATAAGGCGTTCTGTGTGTCGATTTGAGCTCTTCGGCTGAGAGAAAATCATACCATGGACACGTCGTGTTTGATTGTTGGCAGTCGTCGCCCCTGAACTGTTAGGCAAGTCAGCTAGAGAGATCAAGACAAAGTCGCCTTGCAGACTCTCCACCGCGAGTACCCAAGGGAACGCTTTCGGAACGTCAGATGGATGGTGTTTACCGTAAAACCACGGACAACGGAAAAGACGAACGTGTTACTGCCAGGAAATGAAGGGGGTAGCAGTGGAATGAACCCATGTGCGTCTTCGAGCACGTGTCATGGGGATATCCATTCCACAAAAAACGAGTCAAGAACACAGAACACGAGCGCCTTCAAAGGTGCTACACGGTGTTGCCCCTCCACAAAGCAGTCACCGGTGTGTGATCGTCCCACATCCGCACGCACTACCTCTGGAGCATCCCGCGTCATGCGCGCGGCCAATCAACAAGTGAAGATAGGCTGGCACTTCGGTTCCCCAGACAACGCGAGCTTACCAGCAAGCAACCACCCCAAGGGGCCACGCAAAATACCACCACAACCCCCCCCCCTCCTCCGATCAGACAGGGCGCATGCTCAGCGGTCGGCCCGGGAGCGCGATCGACGCCAACTGAATCAACACACGGAGTACACACACACACAGCAGGCAAGCAAGACTCGCGGCAGTACTCGGTGCCCACATGTCTGTTAACTATTTCGCGCACATGCGCTGAGAGAAGATGGACACATCGTGTAGGGCGCATGCATACCTCGGGTTGCCCAGACGAAGCCTACCAGCACAACGGCCACACGCACGAAGACGTTCATAAAATTGAAGAGGCTCAGGATGAGGCAGACCACCGCCGACACCAGCAGCGGGAACACGCAGTAACCCAGCACGCACACGCTCTGGAAGAAGGAGCTGCGCACGCGGGCGGCGGGGGGAACCGGGGGGGGGGGGGGTGTACTCATAGTCGTGCATGCCGTAGTCGTTTGACCATTGACCTCGCATCCCTACAAAGCCGGGACGGAGCACGCCGGGTTCTCACCGGACCAGGCTCTCACATCACCAAGCGCGAAGCGCCGTGAGGTATTTGGCGAGTCGCATGAAGGGTGAGCTGCATCCTGCTAAGGGTGTTCGGCATCTTGTGCTTACTTCCTTGCGTACGGATGACAGCTACGTATGACTTAATTTATTTTCTGGTGCTTTCACTTCCAGAGATAGTTGTAAGCACTGTGTAACTGCCTCGAGGAAGCTTGACCATTTTAACACAACGTGGTGCGATCATCCCCCGTTGCGCGGAGTGAGGTTTCTCGACCCCGCACAACATGATCTACTCGACCACCATTATGGTTACCGCCAAAAAAAAAACCAGAGGTAAAAAAAAAAGACGGTAACCTGGTTGCCGAGTTCACGAAGTGAATTGGCTTGTTTTACAACGTCGTTGCCAATCGACGAAAACCCAATCCCGATGGCAAACACCGAGTGGGGGGCTTGTTTTACAACGTCGTTGCCAAGCGACGAAAACTCAAACCCCGATGGCAAACACCGGGGGGGGCGGCTTGTTTTACAACGTCGTTGCCAAGCGACGAAAACCCAACCCCGATGGCAAACACCGAGGGGGGCGGGACGGGGCGGGGCGGGAACGGGGGGGGGGGGGGGGGGGGGTATTACCTATAATATTTTAGCCGCTGTCCGCACGTTTGCTGCGAAAAGACCGC